CTGGGGGCGCCAGCTGCGTCTCTGCCTGCAGAAGGATTCTGTTGCGGCAAGTTCCCCTTCGCTCTGTTACTGCTTTACTGAATTAGGGGAACTCAAGCCGTAATAAGGCCTTGTTCAAAATCACTGCTTTGGGGAAACTTTTTATGTAGCCCTTGAATTACAGTGTTTATGTTGATTGTGTCGTACCCTTGAATTCTTGTGCTCCCTTATGGTTCAATGTTTTATTGGTGTTGGTGGCCTCATAGTTCTTTCTGGGCTCTAAATCTTGGGAGCTTTCCTTTTTTTTCCTAGATATAATGGCTTTAAGTGATCTTGAAGTTAACTTGTCGCCCCCCCACCCCCTCCAAATTTAGGATGGAGTAGGTGCTAAAATAGCTGAGAAGATAGATGAGTTCTTATCCACTGGAAAACTACGCAAATTGGAAAAGGTGCGTTTCTTTTACTCTGTCTCTCAATAATTGCTTTTATTTGTAACTTGCAAAGTACCCTGCTTGCTTTATGCAATTTCTGTTGTCCCTGGAGAGACTGATGTCCAGGTTGAGAATGGTGGACATGGAGTGTAAGGCGAGTAGAAAGCAGGGAACAAAAAGCTCAGCCAAAGCCTCGAAACTGTCTATTTATGAAAATATTCTAGGTTATATAATCAGCATGTGAGTGTCTTCTCTGAGAAGTGGAATTTGGCCTCTGGAAGGCTGTGGAGTTTTGTGGTTTAACCATGCTGTTCACCTTAGTGTGGGTAGTTAAGCAGTTTTCAGGCTTGGTACGTATGGCATTATTGTGATACGCAGTACTACCCTTGGTACTCTTTTGCATCGATTTATAGTGAGCCTCCAAAGCAGAGTCTGACTAAGCTGTTTTATCTTCTCAGGATTTCTCTGTTTATTGCAAATGGACTAACGAAGGGTTTGGTTTGTGGTTTGTTTTTGCAGATCCGACAAGATGATACAAGTGCATCTATCGGCCTCCTGACACGAGTTACTGGCATTGGGTAAAGCTTTTTTGGTTTGGTTTTGGTTTTTCCTTCTCTAGTTTACTTGGTGGAGTTATGAACAGAATTTCTGTGGTTGCAAATAACGAAGAGAATGTGTTTGAGCTGATCTGTAATGCTAACACTGAGACACCATAGTTGTGATGTCAATTGGCTGAAAAGAAAGGGTATAGAATAGTCGACTACAGGCTTTGCAATAGAGGAATGACAGTGGGAAGCTCCTGTGTAACCTGAGAGGGGAAGGAGAGAGGAGCTGGTCAAGAACAGAAGCACGAAAGACTGAGAAGAGTGTAAGTGAGGAGTTCCTTTGGGACTTTTGGTGGGAAGTTGGGCCCAGGGACGATGATGCTTGGTTGTGTGTTTGTAAAAGGAGAAGTAGAGCCCTGAAATGGGCAACAAAACAAAACCAAACAAAAAGACAAGACAAACAAGCAAACAAAAAAACCCCCATCAGGGTCTTTGTGCAATGTTTGAAACTCTTCAGATGAGGAATGCGATCGTTCTCAAGTAATTCTGAGGGAAAATGTGCTCAAAGTTTGAGGATGTACTGGGCTTTGAGAATGCCTTTGAGAAATTGGGATGGGATGCAGAAGGAGAAGCTTGAGTGCTGTCCTGTCTCAGGACAGTGGAAGTTTCCTCTCTTGGTCTGGAATCTGGCAAGAGATGCAGGGAAGGGTAAGAAAGGAAGTAAATGACAGGTCAAGATCTGTTAATTCTATTGTAAGAGTTTTATTGAGGAAGTGCATTCGAGGTCTTGAAGGGTGGTGGAGCTGTAACCGTGGGATTCCAGAGTAGTTGGGGAGTAGTTCCCCGGGAAGGTACTATGCTTCCAGGCTTGTGGTTCTCAGTGTTTTGAGACAGTGAATAGTTCTCTGGGTGTAACATTACTTGAATGCCTGTCTGACAGTTGAAGACTCGCTCT